GGTGATGCTCAGAGGAGTGAAGAACAAAGCCTCGAATGTAGGCGTGTCAGAGGGAGACTCAGGAAGGCCTTCGGAGAGAGAGAAAGGATCTTTTTGCGTGCGAGACGCGCCCCGCCCGCCGCCGCCATGACGCGCGGACTCCGCCGCCTCAGCGGCGCGCGGGGGAGGGGGCGTCGCGAGGAGCTGGGGCCGAGTGGGGACCCTGAGGCGGCAGGGACCCGGCTGGGAGTGGGGGGTCGGGAGGATGGAGAGTGGGGGCCCTTGAGTTAGGGAGGACCGGGCCAGAGGGTCCCTGAGGAGGTCAGGAGGATGGAGAATGAGGGGCCCTGAGGCAGGGGGACAGGCCTAGGAGTGGGGGACCCGAGGCAGTTGGGGAGCAGCCGGGAGTCGGGGGCCCTGAGGCAGGGGGGTACCGGCCGGGAGTGGGGGTCCCTGAGGCAGAAGGGCATTGGCCCAGGGGTGGGGTCGCTGAGGCGGGGGGACGGCCCGGGAGTGGGGGACCCTGAGGCAGGGGGTACCACCGTCCGGGAGTGGGGGACCCTGAGGCCGGGGGACCGGCCGGGAGTGGGGGACCCAGAGGTGGGGGTACCGGCCGGGAGTGGGGGTCCCTGAGGCAGAAGGGCATTGGCCCTGGAGTGGGGGGGCCCTCGAGGCCGGAGGGGGCAGCAGCCTGGAGTCGGGGGCCCTGACAGGGGGGACCGGCCAGGAGTGGGGGACCCTGAGGCGGGGGGGACCGGCTGGGAGTGGGAGTCCCTGAGGCAGAAGGGCATTGGCCCAGGAATGGATGGCCCTGAGGCAGGGGCGATTGGCCCCAGAGTGGAGGGCCCTAAGTGGGCAGAGGGGACCCTGTGGGCCCACTGGGTGGAAGTGGAAGGGGCACTGGCCGGGGCACCCAACTAAGTAGGGGAAGGTGGTGCAGCCGGGCTGGGGAGCCTCCCCTACTGAGTGTCAGGCCAGGTGTGCAAGTAGTCCTGCCAGTGTGAGGGCCCTGCCGAGTCCGGCGTGAAGCAGATGCCCTTTGAGGTTGCAAGAAAAGGCCCCTGCGGGCGCGAGTTGAGAGGCCTGAGTCTCTGCCTTCACTTTGGCCTTTTGTGTAAACTCTAAAATTCAGTGGGGTCATAACAATTTTCACTCCAAGATTAAGTCCCAAAATGTTTTAAGGTGAGGCAGGAGCTCCTTGGTTTCCTTGAGAATCTGTGATCAGGACGATGGTGCTGTGGAATCCCTGGGTTCCAGCAGCCCAGCCTGTGGCATCTAGGCAGGCCCCTCGGGCGGAGCAGCTGTCCACCCTGGGACAGACCTTCCCCATGGGGCAGCAGAGCGGCCCCACTGCTCAGGGCACTGCATCAAACACCTTATTGGGAGTGGGGTGGCTTTGTTCACCCAGGTGTCCCTGATGGGGCAAAGCCCCACAGGCCTTTTCCTGGCCAGCCCTCATGCCCATGGCACCGTGCGTGGGTTGTGATGTGAAGACTTGAGGGCAGGTAGGACCCCAGCCAAGGTCCCTAGTGGTCAGTCCTGATCTAGGACTCCCTGCAGACACACCCTTGAGCCGGGAGGGTGCAGGCCACTGGGGCCCTGACCTCTTCTGCACGAGACCCAGGAGCTTCGTGTCACCTCCATTCTACTGATGTCTGTTTACCTGTGGCCAAACAAGCAAGCTGAGCCGGAACCCTTGTCTCCTCCACCTCAGGGAAGCCAGATGGAAACAAGCTGGAGGTTCTCCACAACGCAGAGTGAAAGTAAGACACAGTCTCATGAAAGAGAAGATGAAAAGACACGAAACCCTTCACAGAACAGGAGAGAGACGGGGACAGTGACTTCTCAGACAATGGAGGTGATGCTCAGAGGAGTGAAGAACAAAGCCTCGAATGTAGGCGTGTCAGAGGGAGACTCAGGAAGGCCTTCGGAGAGAGAGAAAGGATCTTTTTTAGAGTTCAGACTGATCCTACAGAGGAGGGGTTGCCAAAATACTAAGAGAATTGAACCATAACTCATACACAGTGAAACTAGCGTTCCAGTGAGTCAGCAAAATAAAGGTGTCTTCACGGCTTGTAAACATCCATGTTTACCACACACGCAGTCTCTAAAAGTACTAGAAGAAATAACAAAGTGAAAAGTGGACTCAAGAGTAAGACGTGGATGCTAGCAAATAAATCAATCTGGTCTGTTAAAATCAACCTGAGAGAAATCCCAGATGAGCTCAACATGACACATGGCAAGGCCGGGCGCAGAAGGAAGTGAAAGTGCACGAAAGCTCTTGTATTGTTTGGTTTGAGGATTTTAGAATCAATAGAAAAAAAGGTTAAAAATTTTAGCTGGGCATGGTGGGTCACACCTGTAATCCCAGTACTTTGGGAGGCCAAAGCAGGCGGATCACCTGAGTCGGGAGTTCAAGACCAGCCTGATCAACATGGAGAAACCCCATCTCTACTAAAAATACACACACAAAAAAATTAGCTGGGTGTGGCGGCACATGCCTGTAATCCCAGCTACCTGGGAGGCTGAGGCAGGAGAATTGGTGGAAACTGGGAGGTGGAGGTTACGGTGAGCTGAGATGGTGCCATTGCACTCCAGCCTGGGCAACAAGAGCAAAACTCCGTCTCAATCCCGGGTTTACACCATTCTCTGCCTCAGCCTCCCGAGGTAGCTGGGACTACAGGCGCCCGCCACCTGCCCGGCTAGTTTTTTTTATTTTTAGTAGAGACGGGGTTTTCACCG